ATAATATATAATTACCTTGCAGTTGTTTGCCTTTATTTTTATCTTTATTTTCTTCTGTTTTGTCTACTTCTATCTCATTATCTCCTTTTACTTCATCATCTTCTCCTTCTTTTAACTCATTATCATCTATTTTATTTTTTTCTTCATCATCTTCTATCTTAATTCCTTCTTTATCTTCTTTCATCTCATTTCCTTCTTAATCTTTTTCTAGCTCATTACTTTCATTATCTTCTTCCATCTTATTATATTCTTCTTCTTTATTTTTTTCTTTATCACCTTCTATTTCATTATCTATTTCTTCTTCATCATCTTTTTTATTTTTTTCTATAATAGTCATTTCTTCTACTTCACCTCTTTCTTTATCTTCTATTACTATATTCTTTTCACTTTCTAATTCATTTCTTTCTTCAATTTCTATAGCATTTTCTTTTTCTTTCCCAGTCACACCTCTATTTTTTCCTACTATATTCTCTACCATTTTCTTTTTTTTTTTATCTCTTTGTTTTTTACTGCTCTTTTCTTTTTCTTGTTCTAAATATATTTTTTTTTTAAATTAATAAAGGATGAATTTGTTTTTATTTAATATAATTAATAGACTAAAACTATATACCTGATTTATTTACAACAAGTGTTGTACTAAGTTTATTACATATCTTGTTTCTGAGATCTCTGAGATTATTTTTATTAGATTAATTTACTGCTTGAAAAGAAAATCGTCTTTTACTTTTATTTATATAAGTAATTTCTGCCTCATCTTTAAGAAATTGAACTTGCTAAATATTTTGCTCTAAATTGTACTTGGACACCAAATATAGTAATTGTATAATATATTGATTGTTGTCACGATCTATAAGATAAAAAATATTGAATAAGCATCAAGGGCCGAATTGGTTTTTGCTCAATTTGATATAAAATTGCTGCTATTATCATAATTCCTAGAACACCTCACAAAATTAGCTGAATACTTTTTTGACCAATTCAATTAAGTGGCATTGTAAAACTTTTGTAAGCTAGATACAATAGTCACAAATATTTGATGCCTTATTATCTTGCATATATACTTATATATGTATATATAAATCTTTCTAATTTGTATTTATGTTTTGAGACTATAGTAATAAGTGAATATCGAATATTAAATAAAACTAATAATAATAAAAATAATTTGGATGTAATAAATATGCTATTTGTATAACAAGTACTTCTGAACTTTCTTTTAAGAAAATATGGAACTATTGTTTCTGCAATATTAATATATGTTGCTGCATCATTTGCATATTATTCTCAGCTTTAATCAGTTTTTTATAGTGGTTATTGAAGTTGCGCTCAATTTTGTTTTGTGGCTCCATGGCACTGATGCATTGTTTCGATCATATGATCTACTATTACTTCGCATATAAGTATGCATATATTTAATTTACTAAATTTTCATCTTATGCAAACCACTATGCCAAAAGACAGCAAAGCAAACAAAAATGTAGCTCTTGATGAATTATTGTGATTGAAGATCTTTAATTGGTTCTAATTAAGTTTTTTCTCTTTGTAGTGCAGAAATATTCAGAATTAGAATTCACAAAGTAACTATTATTATACTGAACTAATAACAAGTCAACTGAAAAATCATTTGTCTAATTTATCTGTATTTCAGGAATTATAATAATACTAAAAAATATTAAGTAACAAAAGCTGAATCAGCTTTTGTTCAATTTGATACAAAAACTAAGTACAAAAGCCGATTCTGCTTTTGTTCAATTTGATACAATACCCATAATTTTTAACGCTATTTTTTTTGAAAAAGGAGAAAAAGAAGAAAAAAGAGTTCTATTTATATTAAAAAAATCTGTTACTAATATATTAATAAACTTTATACTCAAGATAGTTTGTATAATGTTTAATAATGATATCATAGTTAAAGTAACATTAAATGATAGTTAAAGTAACTCTAAATTATAGTTAAAGTAACATTAAGTGATAGTTAAAGTAATGTTAAGTAATAGTTAAAGTAATATTAAGTGATAGTTAAAGTAACATTAAGTGATAGTTAAAGTAACTTTAAATGATTAAAGTAACGATAAATAATCAGTTAAAGTAACGTTAAATAATTAATTAAAGTAACATTAAATAATTAGGTAAAGTAACATTAAATGATTAGTTACCGTTAAATAGAATAGTATAGTTAATATAAATAAGATAAAAACAATTTAAGCAATTTGCCTAACGCTAATATGGTAGTGTGCAGTAATTATATCGATATTTTGGACTTGTCATAATAGCTTAAATATTAGAATAATTCTATTATGACCCAGGTACTTGTAACTATGCTGTTGGAGTTAAATTAGCTCTTATCCATCTTAACTTCTTATGCTCTTCTATAAATTGATACAACCCAAGGTGGCCAACACAAAGGTGCGCAGCATTGTAGTACAACACTAATCTTTATTAATTTTTCACATAGACTTTTTTTATTCAGATTTAGACAAAAGAGCAGATGATTATTTAGTAAAACCATTCTCTGCTCGTAAACTAATTACTCGTATCCATACCAATTGACTCTTCATCATAAAATAATCTTTTAACGATCTGAGCAGAAAAAAAAATGCAAGTACTATTTTCCATTTCAACTAAAATTTTTTCTGAATTAAAGTATTAAAAAAATATTACAATATATTGTTGAAAAATCTATCATAGATAACCATGTAAAAGAATCGTTATTATTTCAAATAAACAATCTAAATTTGAGAGTAAAATTATAATTACTTTATATAAATGCTCAGAAAATTCATTCATGATGACAACGAAAGTGATTTACAAACATTTTACACTGCAGTAATATTTGTAAAATGTATCCATATTATCTGTAGAAATAAGGATAAATGATGATTGTTGGGGATGAATAAAAATGTATAAATTACCAAATTCTATTTGGCTTGACTCTGAAATTGGATTTTTACAACAAATCTCAATTCAAATAAGTTTATCAATTACTTATATAAATTTATTAGAAAAGAATTTTGAAAGGGTGATTCAAATTAAGCTTTTGAAGTTGCAAATAATACTAAGAGCCAAATTTTAGCAAATATATCTCATAGCATATTATTTTTTTGCGTGAATTTCTGAATTTTTTCTATCATACTAATTAATTTAAATTTCATAGAATTAAGAATACCATTAGATGCAATAATAGGAATTCTTCTTTCAAGAGTACTAACTTGACTACTGATCAAAAAGACATGATTAGTATCATAGCGTGTGCTTTTGATGTAGTATTATCGATTAGAGTTAATACCTGGGTTCGGATTTGATAGCTTATATCCAGATTTAATAATTATATTTGGATTTAATCAATAGATCCGAATAGGTGTAATATTTGGATTTAAATATGCAAGCACATTACTTTTGTCTATTCACAAATCGGTTTCAGATATAAAGAGATATGTCTAAGCATCATTGTTAAATCCGGATATTATAGCTATATCTAGATCTATTGATTACAGCTGTTTTCATAATGATAAATTCTGAAACACCTTATAAAAATCTGCTGAAAGATTTTTTGGCCATTATGGTTAAGTTATTATTTTGGCATAATAGATCAATAATATTACAAATTATACTCAAGAACATAACTTTTATATTAATTAATACAGTGGCACATGATTATTGATCTGTATTACAAAAACTTTGCTAGCATTATTAGACTTTGTGTGCCAGCTCTATAAAAGTTTGACCAGAGTAAAATCACAACCCAAAAAAGTTTCAAGCATCATGTGCCAAGTTTATCTAATACCAAATTAATCGTATTATTGCTTATGATTTTATTGTGAACATGACACATCTGCTCTTTAGGCTGCTTGCAGATAATGTTCCCTAAAGGGTATATTATTTTATTTCGAATAAACTCAATAAATATAATATTTATTGTCAGGAATGATGATGGAAATCAAATGATGCTGAGAATCTGGAGTTTCAATTTACAAATATAAACCCTACTAAAACCCACATATGCTGAGCAAGACTACCCACAAGTCAGCAAGCACATCCCTGAGACTCAATTCTCAATCTGTACTACTTTATGCAGTAGAATATATCAATTTATTTAAATAATATATTAAAATTTATTTATAATTACTAAGTGCTACGTTATCTTATTTGGTTAACTCAACAAATATATATAATAGTAATAAAAAAGAATGATATAAATGAAGTAAAGAAAGTATATGATAGTTAATAAAAAAAATAACATAAATAAAGTAATAAAAGAAAGTATATGATAGTTAATAAAAATAAATAACATAAATGAAGTAATAAAAGAAAGTATATGATAGTTAATAAAAGAGAATGATATAAATAAAGTAATGAAAGCAATATAAAAAGTAAAAAAAATAAATAAATAAAAGAAAAAATTTTTATTTTTACAAATATACTGCATGAATATTAATATGTATTCTTATATAGTTAATAAGAATGCAAAAGCCAATATGGCTTTTGCTAAATAGTATATTAGAATAAATTGCAATCTTAATTACAATCTAATAAAGTATAAT